TCTTCATTGTAATCATTCTAGTCATATCTGTTTTGATAGGGAATTTATTATATTCAAGAGAAATGATTTATAAGGATCCATTTGATTTGCAATTGGAATCGGAATCGAAATTGGAATCTTTCGGAATGAGAATCCGAATGATCTATCCCTATAGTTTGTTTGGTTCAAAAAGGAATGGGAGTGGGAATTGGAATCAATAAGAATGGGTTTTCATTCTTGATGTAGGCACACATGGCCTTGACCAGTGGTGGGCTTCCATGTGTTTGACGGTGGTGCTCAGGTCGGCGTAAAATCCAGAACCAATGGTGCGGCCGCACTTGGTTACCTTGGATGACTGTGCCCCCCACGTATGGACCACATCCTGACCATCTAAGCCCATCTACCTCTAGGCAGCCTCAAGTATAAATAGGGGGCAATCCTCTCAAGGTCATCTGGAATCTGGAATCTGGAATCTGGACTTGAGAACTCTTAGCTTCCTCTGTGGCCTCGTCTGAGTGTTCTCACTTAAGGCCTCGTCCACCTTGTGCTGCACCCATACTAACTTGATCGTCAAAGTCTCCACCTCAGGTACCAACCCGGGGCCTCTGATGTTCTCCCTCCTTTGCTCCTCGCAAGACTGGCCTACCAGCCCTCGGCCACTCCAAGCCTCGAACTACTCAGCCAAACCTTGGATCAAAAGTTAATTGATAGTGTTGCCCTCGACCCATTTTGACCGGCAACAATTCCCAAAGGAGGGGCAGAGAATGGCCATTCCCTTAAATGGGGGGAACTCTGTTCTAGTAGGAATGGGAATGGGATTCTGATTCCGCTCAACCAAACAATTGGAATCGGAATAGCCCATTCCGATTCCGATTCCATACCCCTATTCCCGTAAACCAAACTGGACCTAGGTTAGTTGGATAATATACTTATATATTTAAAACGATTAATAACTATAATTTGCAGATTCCCATCTAATTATACCAATTATTTTCGTTTCATTCGCACTCATTGAATTGCAAATTTTGCATCCTGAAACTGATGCAAAATTTGTACACACTTCATCTTACCCTAATTTTCCATCTCTTACATGAAGTAGAGATCACATCATCTTGCTTCTTATGTCACTCTCAAACAAATAATTCTCCTACCTCCATTTTCTTTCATGTAGAGATATAAGGTCACTAGGTGAGGATCACATTATTCTACTTATTTTGATAAGACAAAATCAAATCTGAAACAACAAAAGTAAAAACCAGAATAAATCTTGATTAGCTGTGGGGGAAAATATATACAATTGATGACTGACGTGGGGTTTTATTTACAATTGGTTAAACAATCCAGTTTAACCCCCTAAATAAGTTGAGTTTTCTTTTATTTCTTTCCCTAATCCTTACCCGTTAATATGAACATATGCTCACAATAGCCTTTATTAAGAAGTCAATAGACTTAGCTTCTTCTAAAAAAAAAGACTTAGCTTAATTTTCTGTGTGTCACTGTATGAATTAACTGGATGTTTAATCGACCATGAAGATATGCAATGGTTTGATAAAGAAAATGAGGGCTTTAGAAGACATCCACTAGCTGTCGAGTGTCGCCTGATCCTGTTGCAGGTGATAAAGAAAATGCAAGAGTTTGCATTTCTTCAAACTGAAAATCTGATATTCTTGGCATACATGGGTAAAGCTTATGCACATTTGAAGGTTGAAATAACTAATTGAAATACGTTCTGGAGTTTATTATAGCATCAGGGCTCTCTTTTGTTTCAACTTGTATATTTGTTTGCATTGAAAATGGATTTTTGAAGGTTGAAGAGTTGAAGGGCAGGGTTTTTGAATCCTGGTATCCTTCTACGTATGCGGTGAGTTATGAAAACTGGTAAGAGTTTCCAAATTCACAGTGTAACTCGGTCTATTTCGGGACGGCTCTGTCTGGCATAAATCTTGCCCAGGAAAGGGATAAAAAATGGACAAGACGTACGCAGTGTCTCAATCAGGTGATGAACATGATAAGTCACGGAACTGTGATGGAGTGAGGCAATCGGCCGGCCTCCATTACCCTAATTAGCAGCAAGAGTAAGGGATCGATCGATGTGTAGTCTATGTATGCTCAGATAGAGACCTAACATTGACACAGGAAATCTCATCAGTTTGAAAAGCAGAACTTGTCTGTAGAAAATTATTATTATTATTGGTGCTTGAATTGGTCGAGGTCAATACGGTTAATTCACCTCTAAGCCAAGGTGTGAGGTGCCCGAAGCTGGGGTATCCGAGGTGGCCGAGGGCTGTGAGGTAGGAGAGCATGTCAGAGGCCCCGGATTGGTACTCGAGGTGAAGATTCTGACGACCAAGTTACCCAGACGAGGCCACCGGAAAGCAGGAGATCTTAAAGAGCAATAAAACTGCTTGGGATTTCTCAAGTTCTGGGTTTCATCTTGTGGAAGTCACCCCTATTTATGCTTGGGGCCGTTTGGGGGCGAGTAACATCGGACGGTCTGGATGTACCGAGAGATGGAATCATCTGAGGGTGTCAGGTGACGCTGCGCAATTAGCTCTGCAAGGCCTGCCAGGCCCAATCCCGTGTGTGCCCAAATTGACTCCGCTCTGGGCTTCGCCTGACACGTGTAAGCTTCAGCCGAATGCGCTTACATCAATTATTAACTAGTTACTTTAATTTGTTGAGAATTCATGTTTCACGTTGATTATCTTATCTCGATTGTTTTCTTTGTTTCAGATCTCAAAGTACTGTTTCACCACCAGACAAATGATAGAATCATCGATCACAGGATCTCTCTACTTAATTACTTTTGAATATATAAAGAAAAAGGTGCATGCATGGAGAAGCAAAATTAAAGGCTACCCATCTAATTGATTATCACGGTATTAGAATTGTCTTCATGTGAATCCTCCTTCCTAATCCCCCCCTCAATTATTTTTGCTATGCTCATATTTACTGCAAATTGCTAGCTACAGCCTACGCTCCACTGCACCGATTTCTGATTGTCCAAATATATATAGTTTTAAAAAACGATTCACAAATGGAATCATTGAACAGGTCGATAGTTCGATCGTCTAGATTAACGAGTCGTTGACTGATTTAATGGTTTTTGATTAACGATCGGATTTGGAGTAAAATGGAATCGGTTGCACCTTTTACATATACTCTCTATCTTTTATCTTTCTAGGTACTAGCTAGTACTACATGCTCTATAAACCCGGCCTAAAACCCTAAGGCTGTGTTTGGTTTGAAGGAAAAAGTAGGAAAAAAAAAGGAAAGGTAGGAAAACCTTTACAAACCAAACATAGCCTAACTGAACCCACCTGGCAAATTGGAAATGAGACGTGTAATGCTTCGTGGTGTGAATTTGGTATCATTGCCATTTTAGGCTGAAATGTTTTGAGTAGTGTGGATGGTGCAAGTTTCAATGGTTAGAGGAGAAATCTGTTTGATGTAACACTTCATGTTTATAGTCTCAACAGCAATGTCTTGTTTCACGTGAATTGTTTAAAGTAAACTTTTTAATTCTATGTAACACCAATCACACTTCCAATTACTGTTATGCCAATCTAATGGACAAGAATTTTCCAAATCCAGGATTTCATCAGATTTTGTTTTTCTCCTATGTGCAGGGATGTTATGTCTGTAAATGTGTTATCAAGAGCTTCAGGCTGCTTCGAGAAGAAGAAGACGATGGAGCTTATACAGTGAAGATGACTGAGGTTATATAGCTTTTAGCTCAAAGTGTTGTATGACATTTGATGCACCGTATCAATTTATCACCATGTCACAACGGATGACAGGTAAGTGCCATATCAGCTAAAACATTGTGAGATGCAATGGCTGTTGAGGGAAATCTCAATTTGACGTTTCCTCTAACGCCTCCTCTAACGCCTCCCTGTTGCTATATTTAGACAAAATGTTTTTTTTTTTTACTGTTTTGAGTTAAAATAGTCTCAACCAAATAAAAAAATCACATGGTGCAATTCAAAACGCCTTCATGGCACTAACGTGGCAAGGCTTCAGCTGGAAATGGTACCAAACATACACTCTGATATTTTTGCCTTTTTGGGGTTTATGTTGCCAATCAGAGCTTACGCTCTCTTTGTTTGTAGTGCAAGATTGAGTTGAATACAAAATTTGCATCCAATTCAGTTTTGTATCATTTTGTCTATAACTATGATTTGTACTCGAATCTGATACAAAAATTTGCCCTTTAATTTTGTCTCATTTGCACTTATTAGCAGTGCAAATTTTGTACCAAAAAACTGGTGCAAAATTTACACCACCTCCCTCATACTTTAATTTTCTCTCATATCAATTATCAAGTAGTGACCATTGCATTTTACTTCCTATTTGTTTCTCACAAATAAATACGACTAAGTCAGAAAGCAAAAGGATAAACCAGAATTTGCATTTCCATGAATTTACACCAGTGCAAATGAAATTCGCTTTGCAAATTAAATAAGCTGAGTCTAATAGGAAAAATGGGGAAATGATTAGGAAATAGACTTTTAAAAGGTGATAGTGATGATAAGGTCATGTACCACTCAATATGCTTAGTGATTTATATTGTTGTGGTCCAAAGGGTATGCATAGAGATAGAGTCCTTTTATTATACCGTTATTTCACTCTTTCACCTTTTCATGCTGCTTTGTTTGGACTGGAGGAGTGGATTTGAACTTTGATTTCGCCTTGATTCCACAAAAATGAAATGACTAGCTGGCCTGAACGGAATTTACTCCCTCTAATAAATCTCGAAAGGTAGAAAACCCACCCTGCTGACATTATGAAAATTTTTTCAAACCAGCTGCTCCCCATCGGTCCTTTTCCACCTATATTTGCTCCCATGTTTCTTCGAATTCTATGCTGTCAAAAAAATTTCCAAATGATGGAATCCGGAGACTCTCGAGGAATTAACAAATCCAATCTCGGCTCAAATTCTAAATCCACCCACATAGAGAGAGAGAGAGAAGCTTTATTTTGTTTAACTAATGAATCATGGAAATAAAAGTAACCTGCATAGGCAAAAATATTCGATTCAGATCGTTCTTTCATGCCCAAGAGTAACTTTTACAAATTGAATTTTATATAGAAATAAAAAAAGGTGACGAAACCCCATCGTCACCACATGAAGCTTTTCATCTACAGTTCATTGAGATGGGTTCCTAGATTTAAGCATGTAGGACCAGTACTGCACCAAAGCCCATGACACCTCTCCAGTGAAAACTTTGGATTACATTCCATTTCACTCTTATACACTAGAGAGAGAAACATGTCACTGTTATTGCATCTGTCTATCTACATCTATGAATATATATATAAAGCTTTGAGCTATAAAGAGGTAGGTTGAGGCCCCGATCACACCCACAGGGCGCACATTAGCAAACAGGCCAGAAACTGAGAGTCGATCTCCCTGTCAAAAACCCTCTGCAAATCTTCAGAAGAAGGCGTGGAATTAAGAAGCAACACAGCGAAACCAACCCCAAGTTTCACAAACGTAAACGTTTCCCGATTTGGGCTTCTTTTGTATTTGGACGGAGGAGTAATTTGCAACTCAAATGTGGTAAATTCGAAAGTTAGATGCGTGCATGCAGGAAGCTGAGGAGCTAGCTAGAGAACCTCTGTGTGGTACTCCCATAATAACAATGGCTCATCCATTCGTAATCCCAAGTCGGCTCCAGGCGACAGCAAAGATAAAGAGAAGTCAAACCTGTTTGGACTAATGGTGTGGTCGAGGAATAGATCAGGCAGGTCGAACAGCGTTTCTTCGTCTGTGGATGGAGAAATTGAGAATTCTGGGGTGTCGTCCGACGTGGTGGTGTGAATTGGAGAGTAATCAGAAATTGGAAATCCTGGTTTGCTCCGCTTGCTTTGGGCTTCAGTTTCAACTTCACGACCTGTTGCTTGCTTGTCAAACGTGGCCGCGGCTGCTTTGGCAGCGGCGGCCTGGATGTCTTTGGGCGACGAGCTGGCCGGGCGGGGAAGCTCATGAGCCAGCTCTGGGAAATTCAGGTAAGCTGAATTGCCTTTGATTGTAAGCGCAGCAACGTCATGGGCTCGAGCGGCCATCTCTGGAGTGGGGAACGTCCCTAGCCAGATTCTTGATTTCTTTCTTGGCTCACGGATTTCAGACACCCACTTGCCCCAATTACGCATCCTGACTCCACGATAAGTAGGGTGCTTCCCGTCGTTAACGTTGCTGCTGGCCTTTTGTCGCTTCCTGCTTTCATTCTCATCTTTCACTTCTTGCACTACTACTTCCTTTAAGCCCTGTTGACTTGTGATCTCAGTTGAAATCTTCTGAGTTGTGTCCAATTCCGCTGAGGAATTTGGACGACCCAAGAATGTCGTAGAAGAAAAAGAAGAAGAAGAGGTGGTAATTGAGGTGTAGGAGGTAGTAGAAGAGGAGGGGGAGGAGGCTCGAGCAGCTTCACAGTCTAAGATGATTCCTTCTTCCATAAGAGAGGAGGAGGAGGAGGAGGGCTTGGCTTCGGAGTTTGGAGGAAGTAAGAAGAGAATGTGAGAAATGGCACAGAAAATAGAGTAGCAGTTGGGCTTTTATTATTCGTCTACAAGTTGGAGAGACAAAATAAACAAATAAATTAATAAGAAGATGGGCCCATTGGGCCTTGGCACAAAGCGGGACCTCCAGCTCCTTTTCACTCATCCTGTTTTTTTTCATGGCCCTTGACCTCCATTTATTTTTTTTAGCTTTTTCTTTGCGGTATTTTGTTACTTTGCCCGTGGCTTATTCTCAAGTAGTTGGAACTTAGAAACCTGTATAGGGCCGGGGTGAGTGATGCATTCCCCACGTGTACCTTTGTCTGGTTTTGGAATTTTCCTACATGAGCCGAGAAATTGGCGGGCCAATGTATGCCCCCTACCACCCCAAAAACCAAGGCCCATTTTAGACCACGAAATTCTCATGAAAAGCTGGAGTGGGTCCCTTTTTTTGAGTCTTTATTCCATCGTCGACCTCGACCAGATCTGTCATCTGCTATCGCCCGCCCAGGCCTGGTCTTACTTTTCACCCATCACCAATCCCTCTTTTACTTCATTGGTTCCTTGTCAAGCGACTCAAGCCGAGCAATTTCAATTTTCAACCTTCAGTCGGTTAAACCGTCCACTTTTCCATATATGTGCTTTTCTTTTTTTTTTTTCTTTTTTAAAAATTCAGTTTGATATTTCAACTATGAAAATGTTAAGATGGGGTTCTAATATTATTGAAATATATAAAATCCTCCTAAATCTTATAATATAGCCAAAAAAACCGGAATGAACCATGATCGGAGGAGGGCTGGAGGGGGGAAATGAATAAACTAATATGATTGATTTGTGAAAATTAAATAAATTTTATATAAACCCATGTGGGTCTGTTAGCTAAGTTATTTTATTAATTTACTTAATCGTTTCCAATTATTTATATTTTATTAATCACCAACTTGGGTCATTTTCGGCACACAAAGCTTGTGGGGTTGAAGAATTCAACCGTTAAACCCTACAATCCTACTCAATTCATCAGGATATATATATATATATATATATATATATACTGAAGGTGGATATATAATAAATTTTATTTCTCCTTCTTTGCTGTTAACTATATTTGTACTCCTTCCAAACTGAGCCTAGATCATTTGAGTTTTGTCCGTTTCAGAATTCCTAATGCAATTGTACAGAGAGAAAAATTCTCGATTCACAGCGGGATGGTGTTTATAGGGGGTGGGCGTAAATATATTTAGAAAACTAATAAAATAATTCTAACGTGGTCCGAACTCTAAAAGCCCTTCCTTTTAATGGTCATCAATCAAAGCAAGAGAGTTGATGAAGTTGATGAATTAGTTACCATCATGTTGAACAAATCTCTCAACTGAGATTATTTATGGAGATTGGAGAATGGGGAGGGATCATATACAATAGTAGTTACTGATGTTGTCCAATCTTATCTTAGGTATTTCGAATTAAGGACATAGTCAGATAATTCTGCCAATTGGACAAGGCTGAGGTAGAAGGATGAAGTTGTGCGTTGAGGTCTTCAACTAGGAAAAAGGTCAGAGGCCCGAGAAGTTGTTCCTCGCGTAGGTGGTTCGACACTCAAGTCAGTAGGATCGAGAAGGATGTTACTGAGCCAAACAGGTTGAAATAGCATTGGTCCGGGCCGAAGTGATAGTGCAAATAGGTATTCAAAGAGTGCAGTCCAAAAAAGGTCCCTTACCTCGAGTGGGGAATACCTATTTATAGTTGTGCGTCTGTGTCCCAGATGGATAGGGCTCCCAAGGTTGTCGAGATGAGGGCGTCGGTCGAGGCCTTTGGGAGGTTTCCTCTTCCTCGGCGAAGTTTGCTTCCTTGTCCGTGTCGGATACTCCTTCTTAATCGTGCTCTTTTGTTACGCGTGGCACCGACATGGCCTGAAAGGGGGGCAACCGTAGAGATAGCCACATGGCATCCTTGACCAGGTCAACCATCACCCGAACACCACTCCCCCAGTTCCGAAGTCGAAGAGTGTAGTGCTTAGCCGCGGCTGGACGTGGAAGAGTTCTATGGCTTTCGGCCGAGGAACTTTAGTTTTTTCGGTTTGTTGGGCAGACCAATTGGTTCAACGCTCGTGTCATTTCCGTTACAGGTAGGTAGGTGCGTCATTTCATCTTCCCGAGGTCGCGTGCGTGTGAAGTGCGGTGTCGAATTGGCGCCGTGGATTTGAGCATATCTGGACCATTGGTACTCCCTATAAAAGTGGAGGTGGCGAGCCATTTTACTTTGCCATTTTGAGTGAGTGATCTTAGGAGCTCAGTGAGAGTTAGTCATCGGTTGGTGCTTTAGGTGTCCTACGGTAAAACTCTTCGGTAAGATGTCTTCATCTCCCTTCTCGTCTTCGTCTAGATCTTGTACGTCGAGTAGTGAGTCTAAGTCAAGGTCTCTTCCCGAGGCCACTGCACTCATGGTCCACGAGACCGATGCCCACGGGGCCAAGGCTGATGGGCCTAAGGGTGAGGGTGTCGTAGCGGAGGAGGCTATGGCCCTTCGAGAGTTTGAGGTTGGGGAAATCGTCGAGGTCAAAGTAGACGTTGTGTCAAAAGAGGGGATTGCTGGAGAGTGCGGCCATCCGAGAGTTTGTTGTGGTAAGATTTCTATATTGTCCTCTCTGTTCTTTGGTTTACTTGGCCATGCTCATTGACTTTGTGTTTTTTAGGTTGTCTGCGCGGTGATGACGCTGGTTGACAGGATGCGCGCCCTTCATCAAATGGCTAAGGCTCGGGAGGGCGATTTCTCCCGCCTACAGGTAGAGATGGCTGAGCTGAGGCAAGTGGTAGCGACTAGACCAAGGACAAAGAGCTGCGGCGTTTGAAGAGCCGTGCTCGTAAGCTCAAGGGGAACTATGACATGGTGCGGAAAGCGACCGAGGAGGCAAAGGCGAAATTGCTTTGCACCGAGGAGGAGGCGGTCGCCAAGTACAAGGAGTTTGAGGAGTTCAAGATTCCCTTTGATGCCGAGACGTCACCAGCTAAGCTATTTGCCTCGAATGACAGTGTGGCCACCCCAGAGGAGGTGAACCCTACAGATAGCACAACTGGCCTGGATTGATGTTCTTTTTCTTTCTTTTGTTGTACACAACTCGGTATGCCGATCTTATAATCATTGCATCTATCTTTTCATTAATGGAAGTTTGTTTTTTTTTTTTTTGTCGAGCATGTTTTGTGTTGTTTTTCCCTTCTTTTTCTAAGCTATTGTGCTTCAAAATTAGGTTGGTCGATAGGGACTATAGGTCATGTTTCTGTACTTGCTCTTAGGCTAATTTGGGTTTTGGCCTTGATGTTGTGGCTGGGGTCTTTAGCTTTATGGCCTCAACCGTCTTTGGTCGGTCAGGTATTTTGTGAGGTTGTCATCGCGTTACAACCGTTGGTCAATGTGGAGTTTAGTCGAACTGTGTGTGGGCGTTTTGTCATTTGTGCTTGAAGAAAATTCTTTATTTATTGAATTTGTACAGCCTAGTCACCGTTAGTGCTTGATGCCGATCATCGTGGAACTCCAGCTCCTTGGAGTAGGTCTTCCACGCCTAGTTTCCCCTTTTATGGGCCGCTCGAGATGACGGCGATGACCCCGATCGGAGGAGCTCAGGTTGGGGGTTCGTCAGTGCAGTGCAGTTCTTCTCTAGGTTTATGCTCTTTGATATTGATGAATCCACGAAGGTATCTGTGTTGGACGAAGTCTTCCAGGTGGTGATAAAGGTCGTGGCAACTTTCGGTGTTGTGGCCATGGTCTCGGTGGAAATTGCAATATAATTTTTATTCTATATTTAAAAAATTAAAAATTATAATATTAATTATAGTTAATAATAATTTTATATATATTCGAGCCGGCTCCCSMMCYTCSGGAGCCGAGATTTAATAGGCTCGAACTTAACTCGTTTAATAATCAAGCTACTGAATTGACCTCGAACTCGAACTCAAACTTGACTGAAACCAATCCGAACTTTTTACGAACAAAACTCGAACAACTCATAAAAAACTCGACTCGTTACCACCCGTAATTGACATGTCCGTATTTTATTAGGGCATCGGAAGGAAACGCTCTGCTGAACCCATTATTATATGGTAATAAATAAATGCCATTTCCTTTGCCCGGAGTTCACATTTGCAACTGCGACCGTTTGACCCACGAGTGAAAATGAAAAAGCAGAAGGGACCACACATACGAGGCCTCATTTATTAATTCCCAACGCTGAAAGTTGACATTTTGAGTATAGAACAAGCAAAAGTGCAAAACTGAGAGAGCTGACACCACAAGCATGCAATTCTTCGTTTTTCTTTCGAAATTAAACTCAGAGATTGATGATTGATTTGGAAATTACTTGGCTCCCTTCATGATTCATCATCGCACATTTAAATAAAGGCATTCATTGATATGTAGCGTCATCTAATTCTGATTTGCATCACTATTCATGGCAAAAGATTACTTCCGGTAAATATTAATAAATATAAATACGTAGAAGTAGAATCCATTCTGTTTCATGCAAATATAAAATTAATTTAGTTTTTGATGCTGTCTGAATTGAGATGGACGAACAGTAGATAAGTCTTGCGGTGATGAGTTGTACTAGATGAAACGAGCTAAGCAAGACGAGTTGATAAGGGTCGGACGACCTATCGGTCCGAGGTTTTCAGTGTGCATTGTGAGTTTACATCTCCACCCCACAACGTCTTACAGCACATCCCTGCTGTGTATTGCGAATATTTTCTGATAACATCATCAGGTCTGATACTATCAACAGTGCTGTGAGATGTTATGAAGCGGAGATGTGAACTCGTGCATTGTAGTCGTTGCGTCTAAGGTGTAATGTTGCTCCACATCGCTAATGTAGTTTGAACTCGTGGTTGGGTCTAAGGCCACATCAGCTTCTATGTGGCGGTTCAATTGCCATGCGATTCAACCAAGTCCATAAGCAACCATTGAGTTCTGCATCTGAGCACATTAGGAGCTCGTCCTCAGAGTAGCTGCCAAGCACCTCATTCCTTGACTAC